TTATTTTCTCTGTGTAGATAGATACAGATCTGAAGATAATTTTGGATCGTCACACGGATGTAGGATTTGGGGATGTTAATTCAATTCTATTAGTACAGAGCAGCGATTTGTTACGTTAATGAATTCTTTTTTTTTATATTTTAGAATTTAGAATGTCTTCTTATTTTTTATTCCGAATAGAAAAAATATTAAATTTGTAAATGATACATAACTTTTTTTTCCTAAAAAAAGTATAGCCACATACAGTGATTAAAAACGAAATGTGTAGTTCTTTAATATTGCTATTTTTACTATTATTATATGTATACAAAATATTCATCATTTTTTTAGGAAAAAAATTTAAAAAAAAGTTCAGAAAAGAACGTAAAAAGATCTCCTGTATGAGAGAAACATTGCTAGATATTATTAAAAATGTAATATATTATATAAGCAAAAGTTCAATAAAAAGAAAAAGAGGAATAATGAATAAAGCAAAGAAGAGATTATTTAATAAAATTTACAAAATTAAATTATGCGACGATCTTTTTTCCAAAGCGAATTAATACATCTTCAGGATTCACAGTAATATCGCTGTGACTTAACATCAAAACTATGCCATTCGGATAATCTTCTACCATTGTGTTACTAAATTTTCAGGGGGAGAGGATTGAACATTCTAAACCTTTCTCTGGATACACTCATGGACCATCAAAACAATTATATAGAAGACTCAAGCATGATGAGCAATGTTGTGAAAAGTTTTTAGTAAATATTTAAGCAATCTGCAAATTGAATATCTCATATAATTATTTATAATCCAACAAAATTATTTTTAGATCTAATCACAAATTTTTGGATACTTCAGCCAAACCATTCTTTTCATATATCTATCTCTCTTCGCGTTTTGCGATTTCATGAATATACCTTAATATTTTAATTGTATTAATAACGAGGATAAAAAACGCGTTTTGCATTGTATTGCAGAGAGAGAGAGAATTTAAGTAGTTAAATATTCCAAATCCTTAATTCCCTGGATACGCTCAGGGATCATTAAAATAATTATGTAGAAAACTCAAGCATAATGAGCTATGTTATAAAATGAGCTAAAGCTATAAAAAATTTTTAATAAACATTCAAGCAACCAGATTAAACGTCTTATATAATTATTTTGACAAGCCAACAAAATTATTTCCAAATCTGTTATCCAGTTAAATTTTTAGATACTTCAGTAAAACTATTTTTTTCGTATATTTATCCCTCTTCGTGTTTTGCGATTCCATGGATACACCCTAATATTTTGGTTGTATATCAATAATGAAGGTAAGAAACGAGCGTGTTCTGCTATCGTTACCAAAATTTAGAAAGGGGATTGAACATCCTAAATCCTCTTCTGAATTCGTTCATGAACCATCAAAATAATTAATTATGTAAAAAACTCAAGCATGATGAGCAACGCTGAAAGTTTTGACATTCAAGCAACCGTATTAAGCGTTTTACATAATTATAAATTTGATACTCCAACACAATTATTTTCAAATCTGTATCTACATGGTTATAATTTTTTAGGTAGGTACTTCAGTAAAATCATTTTTTACGTGTATTCATATTCCTGTTTGCATTTTGCGATTCCATGGATACACCCTAATATTTTGATTGTGTATCAACAACGAGGGTGAGAAATGAGCGTGTTTTGTATGACACATAAAGATTTTCTTTTTACCTTTATACATGGCATCGCAATCTGTACCACCAATTTTATCCTCTTTTCCATCCACGTTCATTACTTAGTTATATCTGGCTCAATCAATAGACTATTATGAATGGATAATTGATTTATCGAAAAAAAGGGCATACCTGGCTCATGCAACCCGGGCTTTCATTTCGGATTACAATGGCATGGTGGGAGACACACGCAAGCACGCGTATCACGCATCACTGATCGTCGGCGGCATAATTGCGTGTAAACGAATACGCAGGAACGTAGTTAATTGCACATTATTTCAGCGTGACGTGCGCACACGTCGTAAATAAAAAATGGAGTGGAAATCTCATTCGTAACATTTGCGTAACGTTTCAATTATGACTTTCAGCGTTATATATATATATATATATATATATAGAATCAAAAATTCGTATATATTTAAAATCGAAAAAAATGAATAATATTCTGACATTCTATATGTACATAGTTAACTAAATATTTTGTCTTCCATTGTACAAAGGACAATTCTGCCAATTAAGACATTTTTACGGATCGCTTCGCTCATAGCGGGAAACAACTTTATCCTTTGAAAGCGTCTAACGAAGTATGAGCGCAGGTGTGCATTCGAAGTTCCTCGAAATTCGGTAAGTAAATTATTAACGAAAAGTGGAATGGTATATATTAACATAAATGTTAAAAGTTAAGTGTCTTTTCTGATGCTAAGTAGTTCGATGGTTGATCCCAAATTAAACTAGGAAATTTCTTCGGATTTACCTAAAGCGCTTTCAAGCACAAAAAACGTAGAAAATTTGGAAAGAAAATCTTTCGCGAAGACAGAAGGTATAACGCAAATAGCGGAGGATACAATCATAATGTACAGAGGCGTATCTCCAATTTCCGAGAATACATTCCGTAGTCGCTCGGGACCATAATCCTTTTCTTCCAGGAGTTATCCTAGCAATTATTGTTTGCTCGCAAGCGCACCGTTGCAAATAATAGTGTGTTCTACCGAAACGCAAGTTAATTCACAAAAGTTGGTCAAAGTTGAAAAGTTTTACGCGTAATTGATACAATTATTTCGTAAGTTATCCCCGCTGCGCCAACTGTGATATATTAGGGAGTTTTTGCAATAACGTGAATCAAGATACAGTGAACGCTAGTCACGTTATTCTTTTCTTAATTAGTTGTTAAGAAGAAGATAACCTGATCTTAGCATTCACCGTATCTGGATAAACGGTATTGCAAAAACTCCCTATTATCTACGTCATTTCTTAATTATCCTATGCGCAATCATTCACGGAGAAAAATGTTTGGATGAATTCATTGGAATTCTGGTGAAAAATAAATTATCCAGAATTCTGATTAAATTTATCAGATTTTTGGTTAAATCTATTAGAATTCTAATTGAGATAATCAACATCCAGAAATTAATGAAACGCTGGAAGAACATTAAGTAATTTCTAAATAATTATTTCGTTCACAAATTTCATCGAATTTATATCACGATAAATTACAATACTCGTGGCACTTCTGTCTGGATTCAAGGAGTTTTCGTTCCCGTGGGAAGAGTTTCTAAAATTAAATCCCATCGTTGTAAAATAAATAGGTATTGGATGACAAACATTCGAGTGACGATACCACGTCGATACGATCAGTGGTTCAAAGTGGATTGACAATTATGCTTCATGACCTGCCAAGCTCTCCACGACGATGAGAAGCAGGAATAGTTAAGCTTCCGAAGCAAAATGTCGATGAATAAACGTAAATTATGTACAATGTTAACTAAGTAAGGAATTCTAATTATCAGTCGCGTGCTAAGCTTTATCATGCTCACGTGTCGGTAAATAAGATTAATAGAATGTATGCGACTAGATGTTTAGCATTCGTTAATTATTACTGTCAATTGTAACAAAAAATAATATATATGTATAGTATATATATATATATATATAATATTTATGTATATAATAATTTTAACAAAATTATTATAATTTTGTTGTATTATATATAAACAGTGATCTTGATTTTCCGTACAAACTCTGATAGTATGTTCTATGAGCTGAAATAAAAAAAAATATATAACCATAGGTCTTTAAATGCTTTCACCCTATAAAAAGTGCAGTGTTTAAAATGTTTATGTTTAAAATATTTTTGCAAAACAAATGTTAATAATAAAAGATATTTCAATTTTAAACGTTTTAGTTTAGTGTTTTAAATCCAAATACATAGTGCTTTATTTATTGAAAAAATGTAAAACTAAAACGTCTTTAAATTTTTTAAAAATGGAGACAAAAATAAAACATTTTAATATTTTAAAATTAAACATTTCTTTTTTTAGTGTTACAACAAAAATATGAAATATGTAAAAACATTTTTACATAAGTTTGCATTTCAAATTGCCGTCTGCTCATGTCAGTATAAGCTTGACATCGATGTAATTTTGAATTTATCATCTTTTTTTGTGAGGATAGAGGAAATCATAGAAAAGTTATTTCCTCTACCCTAGCAAAAAAAAATTATAAATTCAAAATTACATCCAATCAAGTTTGTATTAAAGGACGGTAATTTAAATGCAAACTTACGTAAAATTTTGTTTTTACACGTGTTATATGTATTTTTCTTATAACTTTTTAATAAAATGTTTATAAAGATCTATGACATTTTTTTGTTTCAGCTCATAGAACATACTGCCGAAACATACAGAAAATTGGGGAACACCCTGTACACTACTAGTTGTATTATATTGCAAGCGACAATTTCGGTTTTTATGAACACACCCGAGAGACAAAACTCGCGAAAGGTAATCCAAGCGTCGTCCAGCGCGATGATTCAGAGTGTTCCATTTCTTAATTATATTAGAAATTTAGCTCACGTTCTTTCGCGCGGGGAGGAAACTGACGCGGATGAAACTAAACTTCAAAAACCAATTTTCCCCGTCAATCAGAAATCGGAATCATGTCGATATCTTGTACCTTCCTCGCAGTAACGGCGAACATCATTACCCTGAAACTTCCCAGAGGCGGAAAGGTACAATCGCGACGAGTGCCGTGCGACAACTGCGAACTAACTGCATTCAAAGCGAAGTCGAAGCATATATGTCCTCCTACGTTGAGAAAGCGGGAAACTAGACGGGGGCCGAGTCAGTGGCCGCGCGGACATTCTCGGTATGTGTCTATGAGAGATGAGAGAGAGAGAGAGAGAGAGAGAGAGAGAGAGAGAGAGAGAGAGAGAGAGAGAGACAGAGAGACGAAGAGGAGGTAGAGAGAGAAAGAGAAAGGCATAAAGAGGAGAGAGATAAGAACAAGAGAGTAAGACTCACCATTAGCAACTTGACCTTGTTAACCAAAGGGGACGTTGTAAGGAACTTGTTGACGGCCGTCAATATTTTCCCTTCCAACGTGGCAGCGCTTCCGGCGTCTTGTTTTCGCGAGCATCCGGGCCCGATGTCCGCCCCCTCGCCGGGACTGGGCAACAACTCCAGGCAGTCGCCCGGCCCGAGATCCCTCTTCTTCAGCTCTTCCGGCGGGCCCTCGTGGCTCTGCTCTTCCGCTGCGCACCGCCGCACCCTCAACGATCGCGCTCAGCACGTGTCGGCATCAGAACCGGTGACCGGCTGGCCCGGAGGCGACGTCTCGAGCCCTTAGGGCATCCAGCGGGATTCGTCACGTCTCGTTATCGGATGGAGAACTTTGTACAGAAACACCCGCTGATGAACTGTAGGCCGGCTAACCCCGTGCCAACCTTTGTATCTTGCGGGAACTTCACGACTTCTCTGGATTCAACCGCACTTCGCGCGGTACCAAACGAAGCAAGACTGGTATCAGAGTTGATCAACTATTTGTATTAACGGTAGATTAACCGGCACGAAAAATTTGTGCTCGCGCGTCGCTCTCGGATAATTGTTATCCGTAAGATTTAGTACGCTAATACACGTGATGCGCAACGATGAGGCTTTTGTGAACGACTCTCGCTTTTTTCTCTTTATCTTCAGATATCCCTTGTCCGAGAGATCACGATGTCATAGTTTTGAACGATGAATTACCGGTGGATTCCGATATAGAGTGACGATAATGTCGTGCACGCGACGTCGGCCGCGAGCTTCCGGATGGCTTTCACTCCTAGAGGTCCCGACAGTGGCGCGTTCTCGACGTGGACTGAAGTCCGGAACGGTCCAACGGATGCTGCGACTCGCTCCAGAGGCCGAAGAACGCGCGAGCGCGCGAGAGGAACGCGGCGTGCGAGATATGGAAGGGGGGAGAAAGAGGGAGCGATAGGGAAAGAGAGAGAGAGAGAAAGAGAGGGTGGCGGATACGAGACGTGAGAGGGAGGATTCTCTCATGGAAAATGGGGGAACGAAATCTTCTATCTCTCTCCCCCCCCCTTTCTCCCTTTCTCTCTTTTTCTGTCTTTCTATATCTTTATCTCCATCTCTGTTCGATGAAGAAGGGGCGCAAGGTGGGTTACAGGAGGGTTGTAGAGTCCTCTCAGGGGCTTGGAGATTCGGAGTTTCGACGCCACTAGTTGCTGGTAAACCTCGCATTTCGCGCCCAATACGACTCCGGTTATTCCGACGTTCCGCATTTTTGCATCCCCTCCTTCTCCCACTTTATTTTTTTCTTCTCTCCGTCTCTCTCCATCTTCCCCGTGATATCCAAAAGGTTTACGTGTGTTACAGGTTGGCTAGGTCGATGGATGTTTTTGTAGATGTTATCGGGGAATTGATACCCTCATGAATCTGACATGATACAGAAAAACCGTTCAGGTAGATACCGTCGATGTTATTTCCGCGGGAAAACGAAAAACGTTAGAATGAATTTGATTTATCTAGATTGCCACGTGATCTCGCGTTTGATTTTCAAATTGATAAACCGTTACGACCTTCGGGCATTGGTGCGTGAAATTATTGATTAAATTTGACTGAATGGAATCCATGGTTTTTCGTTTCGCGAAGAGAAGCGAAGCACGAGAAATCGCCGTGAAATCGAAAGACTGAAAGATTTTGCGGAACTGTTATGCGAGCAATACTTTGTGCATATAGAAATAATCCATCGAGCTTTTATTCGCGAGAACGCATCAGTTTGCCAAACACGTTAAAATTGGCGTTTCCGATATGTCGCCAATCGATCGTTAGTTCCGCTGTATGTGTTCCGAGAAAAAGAAATATAGCCAAATATATATTTTTTCCTCGAATTGATCCGCCCTGTGGGCTTTCTCCCTGTTAAGTCCTTTATCCTATCAGCCTAAAATAATCCTCGATTTGTAAATTTGCTGTTAAGGGTGATATCCCTGTTAAGTAGGCCGAACATTCTTGTTAGTTTAGAGGCTAAAGGATTTCGAGCAATTATTGGCGACCGGCCGAAATCGAGCGTTATCAAACCGTCAGTTAAAGCTGGCAATTAACGCATTTCTGCAGAAATCAACTTCCTTAGACAACCTCGAGGATATCACCTTCGTTAGCGACCGGCTATATTGGGTGTACTGAAAATCAACCTAAGACCGACCACAAGAAAACGTTAAACCTAGAACGCTATCGTACATTTGACATGCAAATGGTTTAAGACATAGTCTGTCTTCAGTGGTCAGCAAGAAAATGTACTATAAAACGAGCAACTATAAAAAGAACAGAATAACCATCACATACTGCACGTGTAAAAAAACCGATATGTGAATATGAGAAAAACTCGGTACTCTGACTGATGCGATGATGCATAGCAAGAATAAAATATGCAATTGTATACTACAGTGTTTAAAAGACATTCGAGAGACTATACACATTAATTATTTCAAGATTGAATTGGACAGTCTACTTATTCTTTCTTTCTTTTTTAGTTAATAATTGAATTATTTGTGTTTATAAAAGTCTAAATTATAAATATTTTGCCATCGGCCTTACATTGATATACGTGATTTTTCATAAACGCTTCTGGGTCTATTTCACTTAATATTGCTTTTAACGTAATTACTCGTATGGGATATTTCTGACACGCTAACATTATATTTCAATTTTTATTGTTCTCTTTGATAACTTACGATTAATAAAAATTGATAATATTCTATACCCTTAGATAAAGATAAATAAAAAAGAAATAATTTTAAATTGAAATAATTTACACTAAATATGTATAATAATAATGCGTTTAAATAGCATTCATACGTTTAGCAAATTTATAAGATGGGAGTGTTTTAGACATCCTACGGGATAATAAAGAGTTAAGAATGTGAAATGTATAAAAATATTGTGTTTTATATTAATTAGGAGCGACTTCCTAGAACATAAAATTTACGTATCAAGCAACACTATATCATTTAATATCGTTCTAGAGTTGAATGAAATGAATTGAAAACCCAAACTGATGTAAAGTTCGCATTTCTTGGGACGTCATATAAATTATGAACTATTTATATGTGATTATTATTAATAATTATTATCATATAAATTATTTGCGCGATGAACGAAGATCCGGCGAATCTACATTTGGGTAGGGTTCTTATAATTTCCAAGTGTCTAAAAGCTTTTGTGGAGAATATTTCTTTGTTTCCATCATCGCGTCCTGTCCATATTTACCGCAACACTCACGTGGGCGGCCGTCATTATCCGTATTGGCATTGTTTTCTAACACGCGGGCCGCTTTTATCAACGACGTCGTGGCTATATCGGCACGGTGCGCACGTCCCGTTTCTTTCGAGAAACCCCGCGTCAAATCACGTTTAATGTCAAGAATGGCTCAGCTCTCGACCGCTCTTCAACAATGGCCGGTCGACCTTCCTCATCGTGCTTGCACAACTTCCTTCGCGAATTCATCGCGGAAAAATCGCGGCGCACTAACGACCAGCCAATTCGCGCAGTATGCGGTTTTTGCGAATCTCTTGTCGCTAATGACACTTTGCTGATTAACCTTATCCAAATAATTCTCTCTACGAAAAGCACAATTCAAGCCGCAATATAAGAAACGCGACAGAATCTTCTACGACAGAAAGAAAAAATGAATTTTTTTTAATTAATTGAGCAAACAAAATTTGTTTTAAATTACTATTGTCTCCAAAATAAAATAGTTTTGAAAGATTCAAATTTAAAGTTACAATATCGCTACGTTAATAGAAAAATGATCCAAGTATAAAAATTAAGAATTCTTTAATAATAAAAAGAAATAATGTACTTTGTAAAAAAATTTTTGCAGCTAATTTGCTTATATGGAAAAGTACTGATTACAACTGTAATAAAGGATACAATTTATACTCGAGTTGTAATGTTTGAATTTTGAAAACTCATGACATAGTTTTAAATAATACATTATAATTAAAAAAGTATTTGGTTGGAACAAACGTTCATAGCATTACGAACTTTAAAATTTAAGCAGCTGTAACTTCGTTAAAATGAACGAAATTAACATCTAAGAAAAAGATTTTAAAGTTTAAAATCTCTACTTTCGAAAGGTCACTATATATCTTTTGAATTTCTTTTAAGTTTGATAATTTTTACATATAGAAAATTACAAGCTGAACAAAATGGGAAATTTTTTTCTAATTCTGTGGGCCTGTTTTGGTGCACAAAAAAACTTACGAAAATTTTCAACTTTCCATGACATAAAAGCTTAAATTTTTCGTTTCAAAATCATTTTTTTTAAATAATCCCAAGATTTTTTGTTATTGAATTATCGTGGATTAAAAAAAAGCATTTTGACATTGATTGCTCATTTAATCACCGTTTTAAACATCATCGTATCGCAATTAAAAAAACAAGTTTTTAAATCTGAAACTTTGCTCTATCGAATTATTACCAAATTTTTTTTTTTTAACGCATAGACATGATACAAATGAAATAGTGCTACGAACATTTCAATTTAAAAAAACGTTTTAATTCATGAAAGGAAATAAAGTAGAAATTGCATATTCACTATCCTAATTAAAATATTATTTCAATTTCGAATTTTAGAAATGTCCAAAATGTCCAAATGACCGAACATGTACCTATGTTCGGACACTTACACAAAATTTGTTATTATCTCAAATGCTTTTTTTATTACGGTATTGTAATTTAGTTGTATTTAAATATTACAAAGAAGGCCGGTGTGAAGTTGGCACCCCATTTTGAGAAAATCGATATTTTATACACAGTTCCGTTTGCACCCACAATAGTTCTACAGTTCCTGCTAAGTTTTAACAACAGTTCCGCTGATGTAGCTAAAAAAAATTTTTTTATAAATGGGGTGCCAACTTCGCGTGGCACCCCAAGTATCGCAAAAATTAATTTTTATCACGAAATTCTAAAGTTCTCGAAGAGTTCTACAGTTCCCGATAGGTTTCAGCGACAGTTCCGGCCTCTAAGTATTTTTAAACAATTTTTTTAAGTGAGAGCCAGCACTCTCCACCACAAGAGTAAAGTATCGCGTAACGGTCAGTTCTCGCCAACTTTTTGCTATTTTACTACAGTTCTACAATAGTTCTAACGCTTTCTGTAGGTTTTGCACAGAGTTCTGGCCTCTACATATTTTTAAACAATTTTTTAATGTCAGAGCCAGCACCCCACTACAAGAGTAAAGTACCTACAGCAAAACAATAGGAAAATAGCAAAAAGTCGGCGGGAACTGTTACGTGGTACTTTATTCTTGTAGTGGGGTGCTGGCTCTGACATTAAAAAATTGTTTAAAAATACGTATATAGAGGCCAGAACTCTGTGCAAAACCTACAGAAAGCGTTAGAACTATTGTAGAATTGTAGGAAAATAGCAAAAAGTCCGCGGGAACCAGCGTTACGTGGTACTTTATTCTTGTGGTGCGGTGCTGACTCTGACATTAAGAAATTGTTTAAAAATACTTAGAAGCCGGAACTATCGCTGAAACCTATCAGGAACTGTAGAACTCTTCGAGAACTTTAGAATTTCGTGATAAAAATTAATTTTTGCGATACTTGGGGTGCCACGCGAAGTTTGCACCCCATTTATAAAATTTTTTTTTTTTTAGCTAAATTAGCGGAACTATTGTTAAAACTTAGTAGGAACTGTAGAACTATTGTAGGTGCAAACGGAACTGTGTATAAAATATCGATTTTTTTAAAATAGAGTTCCAACTTCACATCAGTCAATGAAGGGATCGGCGGAATAAAGGCACAATTCTATTTAGGTCCTTTTTCCGGAGAT